TTCGCAAAAATTATTCTACAGGAACTAGAAAGGACACAAGCGTCTAGCAAGACCAGTGAATCTTTCAAACCTCAAGGTTATCAGAAGATTATTCGAGTTTATAAGATTTATAAGGTAATATGAGGATGGACAATATCTCTTTTACATGAAAAAGGAAGTACTTCCAGCCTAACTTTTCCTAAATGAACCGTTTTCCTGAAAAGTATATCTGGTGGAAAATTAATTGTGGAAAAAAGTTAAAAAAAAAATTGACGACTCGCAGGGATTGAACCCCAGTCACCACCGTGGAAGTCAGATACACCAACCACTAAGCTATCGCTTGTTCGTAGTTTCTCAATATTAAGAAGTATCATGTGTTGTGCGTGACGTCACTTGACCTCGATGTTTGAAGATTTACTGGTGTAGCTAGACGCTTGTAGGAAGGACTTCTTTTCGTATCTAGGAAGATTTTTTAGACTGCTAAGACACAGTGGATTGACTTCTGTAGACTAGAATGCGATGTGTTTCTCTCAGAGCATAGGACCTGTTTTTCATTCCATCGAAGAAAGTGCGCATTGATAGATGCGTTTTATTTTCGTGATGTCACCAATTGTTCGGATGGAAAAACGGATTTCGTTGTGTCAGTCGTCATGTATCTTCAGAATTAGAAGAGGATGATACGATTTTATTGATTAAGATTATTAATCCATTTTCTAAAATCTCTCAAGAATCTTAAAATTCAAAAATGTCTCTATATTTTCAATTAAAAACGTAAAACAATACGTAAAATGTCATGCCAGTCTCCTCCAAACCGCTGGATTCTCGCAAAGCGATTTGAAAGTGTGGAATTTTGCAACACTTCGATGGATTCTTCGATTCATGCGCATGACAAAATGTTGGAATGAAAAACACGCCCATAATGTTTTCAATGATTTACCTACACCGTGACATGACATTTGCAATAATCTTTTGAAATTATATTATCAACTACTTCAGTCCTTGGTGCTCTTATTATTGAACTACAAAATCCACATATTCCTTTTACTTTCTAGACTGGCCGGTAGTGATAGGTTTTTGCAACTTTTTTAATGTATGCAACTCTCGAGTAATTATTTTCACGGGTTCACAACATGTCCTAGACAATTATCAATTTGTGTTTGCATGCAGCAGCGTCATCAATCAAATTAGAATTTGCATTGAAAATTAGTGATTTCGAACGATTAGTGAATGCAAGCAAATTGGTTCTTGTTGAAATTTGAAAAAAATTACACCGTGAAAAAAAAAATTGTGTAGAAAGACCCGAAACTATTAACTGAACATGTGATGGAGTATTTTTGAACAATTATTCAACGTATGCTTTTTCGCACTTATTTTCTGGTGTAACTTGTTTCACAATAAACTATTTTGCATACAATTGTTGCATGCACATCACCTACGCGTATTTTTATAATCATGCACTGTTTTTGGTAATCACAATTCACACAATTCCCGCCGTATTCAACTGAGATTTGCTGACATGCGCAGTATCGTTCTTGGATTTGCGAGATGCAAATATATTGCCCTCTGCGTATTTTCAACACATAGTTAATTATAGTCCAGTGCTTCTTCAAAAGAATACTTCTAGGCATACCTATATCTGTCAATATTCAGAAAGTCAGTTTTGTTTTTGTTTTTCGAAAGTAAATTCGAGGCAATGAAAAGCAGAGGTAGGGAAATTGCAGTAATGACTCTTTCAAACAATTATTAAAGTTGTAGTTTGAAGTTTTCCCAAAAACAAAGAAGAAGAAAGAAATGCCATTGTTTATGGATTGACTGATGATGGATCATCTAATATGTGGGGAATCCATGAACAATTCATAATGATTTTCATAAATTCAGGCGTATTTCAATAAAAACGCATTATAAATGCAGAATTACCAAAAATAGTATAGTATAAATAAGGCGTAGTAGCTAAGCCGTTTTTCTACGAGTCCGCATTAATTCTTAGCCAAATTTTCGAATGCTCTCGGAACGCATGTCTAATCGTGAGTTCTCAATGATGTATTTGTTTTCATGTTTTACTTTCCACGTTGTGTATATCGAGCCCCGATTCAAGCAAGAATTCACATGACTGAGATTTTTTTCGTGTCTCTCTCTCTCTCTCTCTCTCTTCTAACGCATGTGCACATTGTCGAATAGCAGACTTGATACCTCCTGCATGCCACTTTAATCAGAAATACGTTTCAGGCCGATTACGTTTTTATAGCAGGCATTTACTTGCCAACAGAAGAGGAATTGACTATCGAAAATTTTCTTTGTCCATGGTTTAGGTTGAGTTGGGTTATAATTTCATGTGCACACAGCTGCAAACGAAGGAGTTTTTCCTGATCATGTGAATTCTCGCTCGATTTATTGCCAAATACAATGAGAATTGGTAAAACCCCTAAATTAATAAAATCAGACAAGTGACCTCATAACTTATCAAAGTTCCCTTATCATGACGCCATACTCCCTTTTCCCTGAATATAACTTCATATTACTGATTGATTTCAACTAATTTCTTTGTAGAAAATTATTTTTGAAATATTTTAATGGGCGAATAGTGACGTCACGATGCCACCTGTCTACGTCATCAATCTCTGGGAACTTCAGACCAATAAAAGACACCAATAAAAGACACCGATAAACTCGTCAAAGGTTCCTCCTTTGTAACATTAAAAATGGTTAGAATTGTATTCTCAGTCTTCTCATTTTTTGTCTTATCAACATAAATTTCTCGGTATGTTACGTTGGAATCTTGAAAGCAAGGACAGTAAGGGAAGACATATTTTTGTTATTTGCTCGAAATCAAAATATATGAATAATTTTGAGGCATTTAGGGTGACATGTCTGGAGCTCATTAGTAAAATGGGAACACACATCAAATTCCTTTCAAGGGATATGAGCCTCAGCTTTTCGGGAATAACTTCCAAGTATTGCTCATGGTAATTTTCTGAGCCAATTATATTGAGTTACATAAGTCTGGTCCTCAAATTACGGAATCTATAATCCACTCCAACTTTCTTCGGATCCCTCTGACATGAAAATATATCTACAGCATATTCCAGATAAGATTAAAGTCAAAGCCATTGAAAGCAGAGCCCACTTCACACTAGTGAATAAGTTAACCAGGAATGCATTTTCATAAGTGAGTTTGAATCAATTTTCTTGTCTATATCAATCTACCAAATTATCTCAACATACTCCAAGGTAATTGCTATGAATTAGTATCAATAACATCATAAAATCCTTACCTCGCTGAAAATCATGGGCAGTTTACCTTACGTCGGTACTCTCCATATTTCACACCCCATCTTTGTAGAGACCTATTTTGATGCAATTTTTGTCTCGATATTCGTAGGCGATGAACCATATCTTATCGAATAGACGGAATAATATTGATTGCCAAAATTGAGGTTATGGTATATGGTACTTGTGGGAAATGGATCGGTAACGGCTGACTATGGAAGCAGCCGGATATTATTGCAATTATACGCCTTGCTCAAGATCATGGTTAAACCTTAACCAACCACTTTTATCAATAACGATATCGCTGGTATGCGTCTAGCCAAGGACCAACCGTCTATCTCATTACACGCTTTATTCTCAATTGGAATGTTCTAATAAATACTTGCGCCGAACAATGTGAAGAATTAAAAATTGAGCTGCCCGGTCCATGTGTTTTATTGGTCTGAGAAAAATTCTCTAAACATTAGCGCAATAACTTCGAGTGATAATATCGTGGCCTCAGAGCAACCCTAGGACGCCCTTGGTTGCGAGATAATTCGATTTCAAATTTTCATGGCGTTAATTTGAAATCGAAAAATGCGCCTGGAAAAAATAATATCGATTTTTCCTAATGCTGCTATTGAATTGTATGACATTTTGTAGGATCTCGAAGAGAATTTTGATTTTTTGAACAGTTAACTTATTGTTTCTCTTGATTAATCAGCATTTTGGCAAGAATTTCATCCTGCAGAGGAGAGTACTTTCATCTTGTTGAGCACTCTTCATTGATTCAATTCAAAATGAACCTATCACAAAAGATTATGAATGAATGGTAGAAAAATGAAGATCGCTGGAGATTTATTAGCAATTTCAACTAATGTACTGGCCCCTTGATGATGAATCATTTTTCAGTTCAATCTTTGGATTTATATCGAATACAAAACTATTCATGTTTAAGTATCGAAGCTGGGCGATAGAGCAACATTAGAATATCTAAAGTATTAATCATTCCAGAATTACGTCATTTGACATGTTGCTGAGGGGCAAACATTGTATTTTGTCAAGATTTGTCATATGGAACCAGAATTAGTGGAATCGTTTTCGTTGGAATCCGAGTTGGAACCCGAAAGGATTTCATAATTTTGTTTGGTGAAACTGTTATTATATTGTGGATGTGGCAGAGATGGCCAGGGCTATGCTCATCAAAGGTAACCTAAAAGATACTTTGTGCGCCCCTCAAGAAACCATGTCAAAATAACGTGTTCTAGAATGGTCAATTGGCGTCAGAATCTCAGTGCTATACAGCAGGATATGGTCTCATAACATACTGTTACATTAACGTGATATAGAATTTGGAACTTCTGCAACACAAAGATATGTTGAAAATACAATATTTGAATGAATCAGTTAATATGCTTTTTTTCGAATGACGTTGATTAGGTACAATGCATGTCAACTGATTCAGTTCAGTTCAAGTGAAATGTAGTTCAGAACGAAATCGAATATCACTAATGATGAAACCTCAATAATCTCGATAGCCCTATTTTTTTCAAAGTCCTACTGTTGCTCTGAGGCGACGATTTTTCAACGCAGCAATCAGACACGAAAGTACTACATCAAGAACTCACCTCAACTCCCAACACAAAGGAATGACCCGGAAGAATGGAGACAAGACCGATAGAAGAAAAAAGAGAGGAAGAAAACGACAGACTAAACAAAAATAAAAACGATCCTTAAAATTCCAGCTACGACCCCCGTCCCGGGCCCCTCTACCGCTAAGGATTGGGTCCGTGCGGGTTGCCCTGGCCGGGGTGTTGGTGCACCAGCACGGGCATGCCGTGCTGGTGTGAGGGCGGCTGCTGCAGGTACTGCACCTGTTGCATCAGGTGCGGCTGCGCCTGCATGATCGGGTACACGAGAGGGAACTGGAAATAGAAATAGGATTTATTGATTTTTTGAATGTATGATGAATTGATATTCATCATACAGGACGTGGAATGAAATTCTGAATTGAGAAAAACTTATCACGAATCTACGATTGACATTAGGTTTTCTCAATTCAGAATTTCCTTGGGGGATGGAGCATGAGATTACACTGAAACTATACAGTGTGTCCATTTAGTGCGTAATTCTTCGATATCTCGGAATCTATTATCACAAGAGAAAAACTTTGGGGAAAAACTTTTTCAGTTACTAAAGTTGCTCATTTCGAAAATATTTCCAACAATACTGGGTGTTTTATAAAAGCGGGGCAACTCGAAGACGAGTTTTTTCAAATGGAACACCCAGTATTGTTCATTCGGAATTTATTCCGCTTGAGTTCAGCTCTACATCGCTGTAAAAAAAATTGAATTTGGTTGCGGCGTTGCCAAGTTATAATTGATAAACCCATTTTCACTACTGTTGAAGGGTCATGTTCAATTGGGTATGGTATATTTATTTATTGAAATTTCGAAAATATTTTTGGCATACAGTAGTAGCATGGTCTCACGTATACAAATCTAGTAATCTTGCGAGATAATCCTCTAGAGGGTGCTAAAATTTACATTCTGAATATTGTAAGATTCAGACGACGATCATGAGAATTCTTCAAATGGAACACCCTGTATTTTTCATCACGGATTTATTTCGACACTATTCGCCATTTCATCGCAGAAGAAATAATCAAAATCGGTTGCACCATTTTCAAGTTATGAATAATTTCCTTATTTTTACTACTATTTCGGGGTGATTTGTACGTCATGATGGTTTCTTAATTTGATTTGAGTGTGGGAATATTGCTTGCCACATGACATTTGAGGTTCTACATAGTTCATTCAGGTATTTTTGAGATATGTGCATCGTCCGAATTTGAAATATTCCGTAATCTTTTGTTACTTATGACTCAAATAATATGTGAAACAAACAAACATGCCAAAATCAACGTATGTCTTTGAAATAACTTCTACAATACAAACAATGAAGATGCGGATTGCGAAAATTAGGAATTTTTTTTGAAATTTGAGCCATTTTTATTGTCGTTATTCCCACAATCCAAATCTCCATTTAACTTGAAGAAGGTAAACAATTAAACATAATGATACAAACAATATGTCTCTACTACGCGGCTTTTGGGAGGGAATTCAGCAAAATTTCGAATTAATCCAAGATATATTTGATTGTGGCGATGTTTGACAGATCATCACACAAATATAAGTGTATTCCGAAAATAATTCAAACTTGGAGAGCCTGTAAAGGTTCCTATTGTGAAAAATATATGAATGGTCGATGAACAAATTTGATTATACCGTAACAACGCAATATCTCCACAATACAAATAAATGAAAGAACTATCACGTACAAATTACCCCGAAATAGTAGTAAAAATAAGGAAATTATCCATAACTTGACAACGCCGCAACCGATTTCGATTTTTTCTCCAGCGATAAAAAGGTGAAAGATGTCGGAATGAATTTTTGTATAAAAATACAGGGTGTTCCATTTGAAAAATTCTGATGAATGTCATCTGAATCTTGCAAATTTCTAAATGCAAAATTGAGCACCCTGTTGAAGAACATGTCGCAAGATTACTGGATTGGTATACGTGGGACCTTGCTTCTACCGTATGCCAAAAATATTTTCAAAATTTGAATAAATGAATATACTATGCCCAATTCAACATGACTCTTCAATAATGGTAAAAATAGATTTATCGATTATGACTTGGCAACGCCACAACCGATTTCAATTTTTTTTACAGCAATGTGGAGGCGAACCTCGGCAGAATTAATTCCGAATGAACAATACTGGGTGTTCCATTTAAAAAAACTCTTCTTCGAGTTGCCCCGCTTTTATAAAACACCCAGTAATATTTAAAATATTTTTGAAATGAGCAACTTTAGTAACTGGAAAAGTTTGTTCTCCAAAGTTTTTCTCTATAGGTTATGGCTTTCGAAATATCGAAGAATTACGCACTAAATGGACACACTGTATTGACGTTTATAGGTAAAATGACATCTACATTCAACTTCAGATTACGTCGAATTCATTCCATAAGTTAATAAGTTCCTTGTGAGAAAATATCTTTATAGCAACTTGAGCTAAATGAATTGGTAAGACAGAGATTGAGCTACTTCAATCATAATATGTTCAGCATATATTCCTATAGTAATATTACGTGAGCAAATTTTATTGATACTAAATAATTGAAATTTAATTAGTGGCATAGAAAATATGGGAGGAAAAGTTGCCTCAACCCCCTGTAGGGCACCACTGGATAAAATGTCCGGAATGGCTTACTGGTAAAAAAATGACCCATTGAAAGATGAAACCATATTCCGAAGTTGCATGCATTATATTCAATTTTTCTTGAGATATTGCCGAACAACCATTTTTATTTCTCAACTTTTAACGCCTTGAATCTCGAGAACTGAACACTTGAAGACCGTATGTCCCTATCTCGGTGATTTTGAAATCCCCAGGGCTATCACCTGTCAAGCGTTGTCCGTCTAATTTCACAACACCCTGTATATCCCTATTATACAATTGATACAATTGATACAATTGACAGAAGTCTACTGTTACATAAATTAGAGGCCGTAGGTGTCCGTGGGGTACCCCTTGACTGGGCAAAATCTTATTTATCCAATCGAACGCAAGTATCAATGTTTAATAACATCAAATCACAATCAAAAGAATCCAGCCTAGGAGTACCCCAGGGATCGATCCTGGGTCCCTTATTTTTCATTATATTTACATCTGATATTAAAAAGTGTGACATTCCTGATCAAATTGTATTATATGCTGACGATACCAATATCCTAATGTCCCATAAGGATATAGGTAAACTAGTAACAAATAGTAACGCAGCTTCTGATGAGTTTCATAAAGCTTGGTTTTCATGACAACGTTTTGCGTCATGCGTCTTGCGTTGCCTCGTTCTGATTGGCTATTTTGACTGACGCATAATTTCGTAGGAATGAAGTTAAAAATATTTAACTTCTTTGCGTCGAACGCGAGAAAGCGAGAAATGTGGGATAGAAAACCTCTACTCTTGTAGGTTATGTTTTCGTTTTAGGTTTTCCCAATCACCCGAAACAGGAAGAGCACAGATTTAAGAAAACTTGAATTCAATGAAATTCATACTATCCACAGTGTACTTACTTAGGTTTTCAATGGTTTATTGAGATATGGAAAAGTAAGTGACTACTATAGAATTCCATTGAACCTATATTAAAATCAGGGAATATTTGTCAACCAAAATACTACAGATTTTTTTTTTAAACAAAAACTAATGTATACTGTTTTTAGTTTTATATGTGAGGAATGCAGGGAGCCCTCAACAGAGGTAGGTAAGTGAAGAACTAGCCTCAAAAGAAGAGTTATTGATTCAACTTGCGAATAAAATTAATAATTTTCTCCTTCGCCATTTTTGTTTATCAATTTCATATATGAAAAATTAATATTTTAACACTGCAGGTGTCATATTATTACTACTTTTGGCAATAATTATTGAAAACCTATAATAAATTTTGAATATTTGATGCATGTATGAAAATTATAACAAATTTCATCGAATTTGCGTCATTTGAAATAGCCAATCAGAACGAGGCAACGCAAGACGCACGACGCAAAACGTTGTCATGAAAACAAAGCTTAAGTATTGCTCTCAGAATGGCCTCCAACTGAACGTTTCAAAAACATATTTTATGCGATTTATCCCAAAAAATGTATCTCCAGATTATAATCTCCACTTACATATTCAAGGTAAACCAATTCAAAACACAGACGCTATAAAGTTTTTGGGTGTAACACTTGACCCGAAACTAACATGGGAGCCTCATATAAAATCAATTTGTTCAGTTGAGTACATGCTGTTACATAATAAGAAATTTGAGAGAAACAGTATCTTTTGACGTATTGAGACTGTTGTATTTCGGTCTGGTACAGTCTGTCTTACAATATGGTCTGATATTCTGGGGATCCTCATCACACTTTGAAAAGGCATTCATTGTACAGAAAAAAATCTTGAGAGCTATGTTCAATGTCCACCCATCAACTAGTTGTAGTGATTTGTTCACCAGAGCACGAGTAATGACATTACCTAGTTTATATATTTATCGCTCGATCCTCTATATTCGAAATAATATACAGAGGTTTGAGATGAATGAAGATGTTCACTTGCATGATACAAGAATGAAGTATAATCTACATCAAGCTTACTCACGTTTACAGGTCTGCCAAAATTCACCTAATTACATAGGGGTTAAATTGTACAATAAATTCAAACAAATACACAGGAATTATGGAAACAGGGATAAGCTATTCGAAAGAGAACTCAAAAATTTCTTGCTTGAAAATGCTTTCTATACAGTAGAACAGTTCCTCAGTATTTCTTCATGAAATTTCTTTCAATCTGTTTGTGAATGTATAGTAGTGATGAATAATTTGTGATTATATTTTATTGTGCTTATGTATGTACCAATGCATGTATTTAGACTAGGCTGATAAGTGTTATGCATTGTAATTTGTCTAACCTTTTATGCTGCAATAAATATTCTATTCTACTCTATAAACAATAAAGTTTCTTGGGGTAACGAAGCCAATCAATACCTGGTGGTGGTGCGCCTGGGGCGGCCCTTGAGGCGGCGGCCCGCCCGCCTGCTGCTGCTGCGGCTGCCCCGGCTGGTACGGCTGATGGTGGGCGGGCGAGGGCGCCTGCGCGGGATGCGCATTGGGCGGCAGGTATTGCAGCTGCGGCGAGGGGTCGTACATGCGCACGGCAGCGTGCATCTGCTGGTAGGGCGGGTTCATGGCGGGCGGGTAGAGGAACGGTTGGATGGGGGCGGGGGCGAGCAGGGGTTGGCCGGTGGCGGCGGCAACTTGCATCTGGGAGGCCATGTCGGTTCGCATCGGCACTGAAACGCGGACGGTGTGTGTTTGAGAATTGTGTGACGTCATTTTTCAACTATTATCGATATAAATGGGGAATCTAAACTGGTCAACATTGATAACGTCGTGGTCCAAAATATTACCTATTTCAAAGTAGAATAACTCACGAATTTCCTCACTAATTTGAAATCGGTTTTCACCGATGATTAGCCTAATCTCTTGACAGTTTGTTGTGGCAATATGAAACTTCTGTGATTTCAGATAACATTGCTACAGGGTGAAAATTAAATGGATGTGAAATTGCATCGTGGTCTTCACCTTACCGTTTGAACAGATAATTTTTTAAATTTTTTTACTCACCTGTATCCTCCTGATTGATGCTTTCTCTCGAAACGTTTTCGGAATTTTCGAATTCAGAGCTTTGATAATTGTTTTATGAATAATCATTCAAAATGATGCATATTTTTGGCGATTAATTCAATGAAATTGGAAGTTGGAATTCTTTCTTCGAGAATCAACGTTGTATGTATAGTCGTCGGATATGTGAGTGTGTGACAATTTTGAAGAAGTCTATATACATAATTTTCTCTGTGTTACTAGTGCAATAATGGAGTGTTACTTCGTCATGAGGATGTCTGGTGTCTGACCTCGAAATGGTTTTGTAATTTCTCGGATCGAAGTTCATATAATGAAGGTTACGCATTTTTAATCAAAACTTTTCATGAGGCTTATACGAGGAAATATGAAAGAAAGGAAACATGAAAGAGACTGTAGAATTGCCATAGATTCGATAATATGTTTTTCATACTAATGAAGATAAAAACAGTTAGTGCTCATGAGGCGTATGGGGGGTAATATGAAAGAGCCTTCACATATTGGAATGAGAGTCAATCCAATATGCAATTAGGATTTTCTTGACGTGAGGAAATCAAAATAGCAATAATTGTAATTATAAGTTAGGCAAGCTATTTTTTTCAACAAAATTCGTCAAATCTATAGAAGCAGGTGAGATATTATAAATTTCCTATGAATCACCCTGTGAAAAAGATGATGCAGAAATGAACATTCAAGAGTTATTCTATCTCCATTCAATTTCACACTGAATGACTATGAGGAAATTGTCCTTCTGAAGACCATATTGTAGGTGCTAGATTAGTTTAAGATGCAATGGTAACAAGTATGCACGAATATGGCAATTCTTCAGTCTCTTTCATATTTCCTCGTATAAGCCTCATGAAGAGTTACTGTATTTATACATTTCACAATTTTCGGCAAAGACCGACACTATATTTCTTTTTCGGAATATAGCGATTTTCATCACGTTTAAACATAGTCTTCTTCATCCCGGGCAATCTCGACATATTTTTTATCGCACCTTGTACATCCATCGTCAAGAATAAATATCAATTTCATACTTCTCGAACTAAAATCGTAATTTTTTGAATTTTATAATTTATCTCAACGAAAATGCATCATGTTGATTGCAAATGCGTAACCTTCATTATAGTGAACAATTTAGTGGTGATTCATCATCTCTCGCTTGATTCAAGTGCCCTGCGGAAAAAAATCTCAAAAATTTTCCATCAAATATGGAGAATTTTTCAATATTTTGCAGAGGTTTGTTTGTCACCCTGTATACCCAGAGGTTACTATGTATTTCCATCAGCGGTCTGTCATATACCCAATGAATCAATCTTCAGAATAAAGAAAACCGCATCCAAATACAGTGCAGACTCGATAATCCGAACTAATGAAAACCAAGGCGATTCGGATTACCAAAAAGATCGGATTACCGAAGCAGTTTTTTTTAAATTTTTTATTACGAAATGCAAAAAAACATAGATACGAAAAAGTAACACTAAAATATGCATAAAAGAAGGAATATAACACTAGTTTCTAAAGTAATTTGTAATTTTTGTTTGCTTAACACATCTCTGATTATTTATAAAGGCCATTTCTTTTAATCTTGAAGTACAAGAATATCATTTAACGGAATATTATTTTCTTCCTTGCGTAATGTGAATCCCAGATACTAACAAAACAACAATTAGGGGAATCCCTGAACATTTCACTCACAATTTCTATAGGAAATAAATAGGCCTAAAGGTATAGGTTCGGATTATCGAGTACTATGAAATTCGGATTATAGAGTACTCAATGTATTAAAAATGCTTGTTCGGACTACTGAAGAATTCGGATTATTGAACGTTCGGATTATCGAGTCTGCATTGTATGGAGAATTTTTCAATATTTTGCAGAGGTTTGTTTGTCACCCTGTATACCCAGAGGTTACTATGTATTTCCATCAGCGGTCTGTCATATACCCGATGAATCAATCTTCAGGATAAAGAAAACCGCATCCCAATAAGTATATTAATTAGTATAAGTATAATTCAATGTTGAATTTAGAGCAAAAATTTGCTCGATGCGGTTCGATTGATCAGCAGTGTATGTCCACCTACCAAATTTGAAATCAATCGGTTCGTTCAAAGTGGGTCATACATGGATACAGGTGAAGCTAATAAAAGGGTATTAAAATGAAATAGCGGTTCGCGAATAAATAATGTGAACATCGCCACTCACATCGCTTGATTCTAGTGCCCTGCGGCGGCGGCTGGTACTGCGGTTGGCTGGTCATCACGTAGTGCACGGGCATCATGACGGGCATCTGCTGCTGCCCCGACCCGCCCATCGAAGCGGGGATGTACGGGCTGTGGCTGGGCGTCTGCGGGGTGTGCGGTCTGCTCGCAGGGGTACTGGGAGACCTGAAAATTTTATCATGAACTGGGCGTCAATTGAAACGTTAATAGTGAAATTTGGCACCAAGTTTGACTTCTCGTAATTTCTAAAAGATTCTGAATGCCTTTCTCATCGTCTTTCGAACCGTTCCTTGTAGCTTCTTCTAAATTGATCAGGACCCGTGATACAGGGTGAAACAAAGTTTCGTGCATTTTGAAAAAATTCTCCGCCCCCCCATTTTGTCGGAAGACGACGATGCTCATATTTTATTCGGGCATTTCATAAATAGCAACCATACCTCGGGACGTTTTCAGGTTTTTCCAAAAACTACTGTGGTTTCCGAAAAAAAAATTTTGTTTTGCATTTTTTTTAAATGGACTAATTTTAGAGGAGTTCCATAAATAGATGCTTTTATGCATTTCAGGAAAGCGTTGGAGCAGATATGTATACCAGGTTACTCAAAAACAATCAATAATTCATTACTTCGCAGTCGATGATAAAAGTTTTCTACCTTAGTGAGCAGTAACACATCTCATCAACAAAAACAAACAACGATACCTTGTTTCTATAACAACGTATTGTTGAAACAATATAAGTATGCAGAGGTTATATCAATTGCCAATTTTCATGAAAACGTCAGTGTAATTCGGGTCCTAAAAAATTTAAAGATGCCTCGTTCAAATCGGCTCGAAATGGAAAATATCATTAGGTAAGATCACTATAGTGATATAAACTATAATTCAGTACAGATAATTATTATTTCAGGTTACGACGATTAGGATATACCCAAACTCATTTAAGTACCATTTTCAATAAGTCAGTCATGACAATAAATAGACTGATTATATTTCACGTCCAGCCTTCGATATCACATTCTGTAGTACGCCCTGTCGATACTGCTACGCACAATATTTAAAGATTCTCGCTCTCCCTTTCTCCTGTTCTCTATCCCTGGGATACCGTTACTCCCATTTCTCATTCGTCTTGTTGTGCTCGTTGCGCGCACATGTCACTCAAACGTCGCTGGAAAAGTAAGTATAAATTAATTCTCTTTTCCACAGTAGCTCTCTCTTTTAGCATCGGAGATAGAGAAGAGAAGACATTCATCATCTAATGATGAATCCGAAGAGGATGTATCAAACAAGGACTTGTTCAAACGAACATATAAACTGGGAAAGAAATTGCGATAACGAAATCGTCGAGATAGGAGCCGTTCGCGTGCCTCGAGCAGGCATGGTCGGTCACCCTCTCGTTCTCTCGTTCCCATGGTCCTCGACTTCTCGAATTCGGGTTCGTTCTTGGTTCTACTAGTTCGAGTTCGAGCCAAAATCGAAGCCGTTCGCGTGTCTCGAGCAGGCATGGTCGGTCAACCTCCCGTTTTTGAAGCTGTTCACATGAGAGTGATAAGGCATTCAGTGATGTTCCCTCAGGCACTCAGATGATTGCCGAGATCTGCGCGATCCGGAATCATCACAGGCGACAGGGACAGAATCTAGTTGCACCGGTCGACCCCCGCGCGGGGCGGAGGGCTAAAATGACAGCTGTTGGTGGTAGCCGAACTTTGAACAAGTCGGGACTACATCTGAGGGGGGAAGGAGAACCAGATAGTGAAGCTAGAGTATGGCTGAAGGGCCAATATTTTTGATAGATAATGACGGACATCTGCCAAAATTGCAGGATGACGTTCTCACTATACGGGGTCGCTATTTCGGACACTGATTCGGAACAGAGATTCACCCTTCATGATGCGATAAGCTCAAGATGGAGTAATATTGTGAACGGGCTGCAAGGTAATGAATGGAATAATAAGGTTGAATCCAGAATTAAAATGCCTTCATATATATCAGCCTTGTATCCCCCACCAATGAATGTAGGGGATTATAGCAATGCTTTATCTAAACCAAATCACACTAAAAATAACTTTCATGCTGATCATCAAAATCAGTTGGGTTCAGGTCTAGCTGAAATAGGTAGGGGTCTAAATGTGATCCTGAAAAATAATGACAACATGCCTAAAACATAAGAGAAACCTTATTATCTCAATTATGCCGTATTCTCACGAATTTATTTTTCAATATTACAAAAGTGAGGCATGAACTGGTTAACCTATGATCTCAACATAAAAGCCAAGGAAATGGCAGAGAAAACAACCCATTCCTGAATTCTTATTCGCAGCTGATTTGGAAGGAAAGGTTAAAATAGCCAAACAACTAGAATTTTAAGGTGATGAATTTTAGATTTTCAACACCTTGTAGGGCAATGAAGAACATTTGCGATAAAAATGGGGGAGGGCGTCATAAGATGCTTAAACAAAACTCTTATACAGATTTCGTCCGGTTCGCCGTCCACAAACGAACACATGGACACATGGAGGGAGTTGAACCAAATTGAAGGGCGAACCTCACGACAAGAAAGGAATTATACGAATAAAACATACTAGTATCGGCCTTGAAGTGTGAATACTCAATGGTATCGGTAAGTCATAATAGTTCAGCCGGCCGGCTCAAACTATTCTTTGATGAATGGTTGAATTTTACCTGAATCAAACTGTCTTGGGTGAATGGTTACAGATTACCCTTCATCAAATTGCCTTCACAAACGAAGTCGCTCACCACATTCTTCTCACTTAGTGATACTCGATTGATGAGGAAACAATAAAATTGTGACTCTCGCAAGGTGCAGTGGTCAAAGGCATAGAAAAATAAAAAAATCTGTTCTTATCTAGAATCTTTCTAGCCGACAAGTCAAAAGGGAAGAAACGTTTCATTTTGAACTCGAAGCCTCTCAATGACTTCATTGAGGCACCCAATTTCAAGATGGAAAACATTCAAACGATTTCGAAATCAATTTCACAAAATTGTTATTTGGCATTTATAGATTTAGAGGACGCGAATCACTTGTGAACAATACACAAGTCACAGAAAATATTTGCGATTTCCTCTTGATAATCAAATCTATATGAATTTACATGTCTTCCGCTTGGATTATCATCAGCTTCCATATACCTTTTCAAGATTAATGAAACCAGTTATTCAAAATATTAGGAGAAAAGGTATATGATGCTGAACTACCAAGATGATTTCTTTATTTTTGGCAAAAACTACAACCACAGCAGAGTCATTATTATGGTAACACTTGAATAATTGCAAATAAAGCTTGGCTTCATCTTGAATCAACAGAACAGTATTCTATAAGAGCCAATAAATCGGGCAAATTATATGGATTTGTTTTCAATAGCGACTCAAACAAGTCACGCTTCTATAGATGAGCAAAAAGAAAACATTGTGAATTTCATAAGTTACTCGAAATCAAGACCATCATGCGAGTTTCGAGAATTCGCACAATTTGTTGGTTCATTGGTGTCTGACTGTACTCCTATAAAACTCTAGATAGAGGAAAATATTTGGCTCTCTTGATCACCAACGATTATGTTGCTCATATGCGCCTACGGCCACTCTTATGATCTGATCTGAACTGTTGGCTAGATAACATTTGAATAGTATAAAGCTACTTCAATAGATAATATTTTGATCTAGAAATATTCACAGATGTTCCACTGACCGGTTGGGGGGTTCACTCGAATGGGGGACGAACCCATGAATAGTGGACACCTGCTTGCAGTATTTCACGGTATCAGATGTTTCGCCATTCACATAGAAATTGCAATATTTTGATAAGAACAGATAACACCAAAGCTCTTTCGAATATCAATCTTATGAAGAGTGTCATCAGCTACTAGAGCTGAGCCAATTGAAAAAAAAAAAACTGGCTATAAGCCTATCAGCCTCATATAATTATAGATTCCAATAATAATAATGGACAGGCTGACCAGGAATCTCGCAAACTTACACCCAGAACGGAGTGGTATTTAGCTTCATACGCATAAGAGAAAAAAACAGCGGTAGTTATCAGATCAATTCACGACGAAAAACAACTTCAAATGCACAAAGTGTGTATCATGGCATAGATATCCTGAAGAACTGGCAGTTAATGCTATCACACTCCCTAGGAGTGATATGATGTTTCATGCATTTCCTCTTTTTTGTGATCCTAAGAATTGTTCAGAATATCATCATTGAGTATTTTGAGTATTCAACTAGTATATATAATCAAGGATATCATACAAGACAAGGCGGAGGGGATATTAGTAGTACCGCCGACTCAGCCATGGTATCCCTTGTTGCTGAAATTGACGTCGGATGGCGCCGGTAATATTCAAACCGAAACGTTTATTGTTCACAACACAATACATTCATTCACTATCAAGCATATCCTGGAGAATGACAGACCATCAGACAAGCATTACTACTAAAAAACTTTCCACCAAGCGCCATAGATACTGCGCTTTGCTCCTTGTCAGAATCTACGATAAGCCAATATATTTCTAGGTATTAACTCTGCTTGCAATTTTGCTCACAAAAGAAGTTACTGCCGTTCGAAGGTGAGGCACATGATTGTATGAAGTTTCTTCAAGAATTGGTTGTTCAAGGAAACCGGAAATTTTTAACCTTCAGCGCCCACCGATAAGCCCTTTCATCATTTTGCCTATCGAAGAAGATGAAAGAAGTGGAAGATTCTTGAGAATTGTAGCTAAGCTCAGACAATATTCACCAAGATACACGACTACATGGGGTTCATCGGATGTTCTGAAGTACTTTAGAACAAGCGAGAACATCAGGCTTGAAATCATTTTCTTTCAAACTAATCACTCTGCTTTTTCTTTTTCTGACCACAGGTCAAAGAATGCAAACTCCCTTACTGATTAAAATCGAGAACATGAAATAGTCTCCGAAAGAGTTGCGAATCTGTATACCTGACAGAGTGAAAACCACGGCTATCGAAGAAATCCACTTCACTTGGGGATACCATTTTTTAAGGAAAACCAGAAATTATACGCTGTAATAGTGGTGAAAAATTACCAGGAAGACACAAGGCCTATTCGAAATGATCCTATAGGTAATGTCTCTTTATCAACCATAAAAAACGTCACAAAATTGTATCTACGCAGACTTCGAGTAGATAGAGGGGTAGGTGAACATTGTCAGGCATATACATGGAGAAATTCCTCATTCGACGAGACATGGGCCGACTTCCCTAGCAAAGAAAGATAGACAAAAAAAAAAAACAGGCGTGAGCCTGGACATCATTCAGCGAACGGCTGGATGGTCTTCTAATTCCCAAACGTTGATAAGTTGCAACGATAATGGGCGTGTACACCTAAGTAGAACTTTGAACTCAAACCATGTTTATAATGATCCTTTTATACATTAATGATGATTGACGACATAATTCGATCGAAAAATTAACTGGAATGTTTTATTTTTGGACATGAATGATAGTACCATCTGAAAACGGACCCCTCTTATGACGTAGAAACCTCATCTCGCCATAGTTGAAAGAAAGTACCAAAAGCCCGACGGAGACTGAGGCAACTGATATATCAATTCTTTCAACTGTGATCTCGCGCTAATTCACTCTGTCAGAAATCATGTATCAATCATCTCTGTCTGGAATAGTCTTGTTTCAGTATTAGGGTTTTGACGTCACATCATCGCCTCGTTTTCAGAGGTCCGAAAAATCGGGGATTTCAATAATTTTTTATAAAACGTAGGGAGCTCACAGCAAGAAACGATTTGCGGTGGTGAGCTAGTTTGGGTGAGTTCTATCGAATTATGAAATAAAATTTTTTTGTGATATAAGCCCATTGTTAGAACCACTAGCCAAAAGTCTACGGAAGAGATTTCAGCATTCATTCAGAGTCATACTCAGTAGGTGAAGAATCTAACGAATTATTTTCAGTTTATTCATTGAAGCAAATTGTTATGTTTCAAAGGTGAATATTGTAACATGTATCCATGAGCACTCGTTTCCTTTGATAGAATATCACCTGCTTTGGTATGGTAGACACTATGTTATATATATCATGGAAACCATACATCCTTCCTAAAGTGGTCCAATTTTTTTTCAGTCGACAGAATTGATGTCGTTTGTTTTTCTTCGATTATATTATATGTTGAATAACATTTGATCAATAAAATCGTAGGAATCTTTCTAAAATGAGGAAGCAGTATGTACATACATTGTACATGGCAGTACTCATCGTAACCTGTCTTTAAACAACTGAGAATGTGATATCGAAGGCTGGACGTGAAATATAATCGAACGATTAAACGAACTTACCTAAGTGAAGTTCAATCGTGATTATATGAAGCGTCCAGCCTGAAGATATCACCTCCCACCATCCCCTGAGCAAATATAAATACCCCATACATAGGTTACGATGACAGAACTTTAAAACAATGAGAAATGGGAGTAACGGTATCCCAGGGATAGAGAACAGGAGAAAGGGAGAGCGAGAATCTTTAAATATTGTGCGTAGCAGTATCGACAGGGCGTACTACAGAATGTGATATCTTCAGGCTGGACGCTTCATATAATCACGATTGAACTTCACTTAGGTAAGTTCGTTTAATCGTTCGATTGATCGTTTTGAGGATACAGGTAATCAGTCCATTGAAAAAAAAATGCAAATTTTTTTTTTTTTCGGAAACCACAGTAGTTTTTGGCAAAAACTCGAAAACGTCCCGAAGTATGGTTGCTATTTATGTAATGCCTGAATGAAATATGAGCATCGTGGTCTTCCGACAAAATGGGGGGGCGGACAAATTTTTTTCAAAATGCACGAAACTTTGTTTCACCCTGTATCACGAGTCCTGATCAATTTAGAAGAAGCTGTAAGGAACGGTTCGAAAGACGATGAAAAAGGCATTCAGAATCTGGGCGGCAATTCAAAATTCGTTCAATATTTTAGAAATTACGAGAAGTCAAACTTGATGCCAAATTTCACTATTAACGTTTCAATTGACGCCCAGTTTATATCGGGTGTGCGAGATCTTTTCATACAGCCAAAGATAATACAAAGCCTAGATGAGCACCGTGAATGTAAGAAAGGGCAACGCTTAGTTGGAAGTGGCGTATCTGGCGTCATCAGACCTATGATAGCATATGAGTCAGTAGTTTGGTGGCCAAAGACACAACAGGCTGGAGTGATTCGAAGGCTCAGTGCTATTCAAAGGCAAGCTTGCCTGAGTGCCACTGGTGCAATGAAAACCACTCCAACAGCCGCTTTAGAGGTCCTCTTGAACCTGCCACTACTACAAATATATATTCAAGGCGAAGCCAGAGCAGTCGTGAGTAGATTGTCAAGGGGTAAAACATCCATAAGCAACGCGCACGGTAAAGACTATAGAAAGCTATATGAAGAGTTGGAAAGCGACCCCATCATGGGAATGCCAACGGATGGCATAATTCCAGAATATAGCTTTGAAAAAACTTTCAGAATAAGTATAACGGACAGAGAGGCATGGAAGGAAGGACCTCCTATCAATGCAGACATTGCTGTCTATACGGACGTCTCCAAAACTGAGGAAGGATCAGGAGCTGGTATTTATGGGGCCAAGCCAAAGACAAGAATCTCACTGAGTTTAGGTAAATACGCGACGGTGTTCAGGCAGGAGTTATTGCAATACATCATTGCGTGAAAGAATTGATAAGGCAAGAGTTTAAATATCATCATACCGTTATTTACTGACTGAAATTGAGCGGTCAGTGTATACCGATCATTGAATAATTACTCACGCTGAACATATTCATATAAAATATCAGTGCGGTGGTTCAACGAGTGAAAGACGGCATTAAAAAAATGTCAGTTTGAGGCTCGGTGGTCGAGAGCGTGAAGGCGCTGGGTTCGTATGGGGACTCCCACCGAGACATAGGTTCGAATCCTAGTTAGGCCATGGATGTTTGTGTTTGTATGTATACCTTACCCCGCACAAGTTTCGACTTATGGGGCGGTATGCAATTGCAAAAAAAAGATCTATATCATATTAAGAATGCAAAATTATCATCAACAGATTTAAATCAAATTCCATCTAAAAACATTGAAAATGTTCAACTTTCCGACGTAAATAAACCATAGAAGTGAGGGTGATTTACCTCCAGTGTTCCTCATCTGTTGAACATGGAACAAATCAAGTATGTTACTTGCAAATATCTAATGATATATACCCTTGCCTCGCCTTCCTGTATGTGCAAGGAAGACAAATATATTTCTACCGAACCCTCAGCTGGTAGCTGCTCATTGCCTCTCTCTCATTTGTTGAAATCATTAGTTGGTTTTCTACATTTTTCTTTACGTGATAAATGTAAGATTCGAAATTTCAAAGTTTCAAATAATCATTATTAGTCAAATAAATAAAAAACACACCTACGGATTGGTGCATTTCGGTCACCAGTCACATTTACAATGCAAGTGGCGAAATTTGTACCCAACCATCAGCTGATTTCATCGCGCCTTGAATCTTACTCTTATGTTACCATCAATTCCTCTCTCTAGGAACCATCTAGGAGTTTGATATTATTATATCATTAGTTACTTGTCACTTTGAACATGTTTCTAAGACCAATAAATTATTTTAATTTGTTTGGTTCAATTACCTTGGTTGGAAAGGTTTAGCTGCAGGATTCAACACGAATTCCTTAGCATTCGGATTCAGCGTTGATTTCTTCAGAGTATTCGTCACCTTTTCTATGTTCTCCTGTTGGGGACTTATAGCTTGTTGTGGTTGCGGAGGAGATTGCTGCTGCTGTTGAGGAGGTTTATTAGGTGGAGGCATTTGCTGTACTTGCTGTACTTGCTGGTGTTGTACCTAGGAAGATTTCCGATTTTTTTTTACCAATGTATATATATTTTTCGTGGTTTCTTTGAGAGACATTTCTATTGAAATGCTCCCGTTTGAACACGAAATGCGCCAAGGAACTGACGTCATACTTATTATTGTTCCAAATTGCATTTAACACAGAATGAAGAACTAGTACTTTTCAAAATTGATGAAAAATCAGTCATTGGGAACGCCTCCATGAAATTTGGAAAAGCTGAAAACCGGCTTATGAATATCAACAGAAGGTTTCTACTTCCTTAGCTGTATACGGACAATTTCTTATAGTTGAAACATCAAACACTTTGAATAACTCTTGCAAGAATTATTTCACGAGATATGACACCAAGAATGTAGGACTCATAATCTGTATGATCTACTGGGTGTTTTAAATTAGGAATTGAATAAGTATTCAACATAATTTCTCGCAAGAAACAAAGAGATATAATTGGTGCCAAGATACCTTTAAATAGTTCAATTGGAAAAATTTGAAGGGATGGTTCTGCAAGAGGGTAATATTCTCATAGATCATATTGATCTCAAACTATGTCCCCTTGAGAATCGCTGTCAATGTGTCATGACATTTCATAATGAAATATTCTGAGTAAATCGTTTTCAAATATACACCTTGTATTGATCAAGTTATGTCAGTTCCCATCTTATTTCAGTGAATTCGTGAAAATAATAAGGAAAAAACTCACCTGAGTGATGATATTCACTACACATTAACAACGCACGAAAATTGTTTGACATGTTCTTCTTTATGTAATATTATACTTCATAACAGTAAATCAAATACACAATTATATGAGTAGAAGGTAAGGTAATCAGTACTAGAATGAAGAACACTATAAGTTCGTTAAGTCAAAAAGGTATAGTAAATTGAAATATCACAAATAAACTTCCATAGGAACTTGATATCAGTCCAAAAATTTATGAATGATTCACTACACGTATGCAAGAGTAATAAAAAATGTTCTGTATTATTTAATTGTATATTGCTACTTGAAATTTGAATTCCAACTTCCCAAAACCAAATCCCAAGTGGTTATGGGTGTGGTAAAGTGTGTTACAAGTGTTTGAGAGTGTCAGTGTTTGTGGGTGTCTTGTCATTTTATGTATGTGAGTAAATTAGCGTAACTTACTTGTTCAACAACAGGTGGTGGAACTTGCATCTGAGCTTGCGGTGGTCCCTGCTCATTGGGCATGGACGTCAACTTGAAGTCCTGCGAGAATTGGTGCAGGTCTTTCATGGTCTCATCCCTATGCCTCGGCTGATGGTTCTGGATGTCTTGCTTCAGCTCCGGCTGTTGGTATTGCTGTTGTTGGTTCTGATTTTGATAAACGTTGCGCTAGAGTATTGTGAGTTTGTCATTCATATTCATGAATAATTTGAGAATTGCAGGATTCATGAATCATGATTCATATTGAGCCTTAGGGAGGACTTCACGAGCAGTTTTTCGTGGCTACCATAACGACGCTACATCGCTCCATTGCAATATCGAGCGTTGAAGTTTCAAAACTACCTGGCGCGTCTCGCATCTGACTCGGCGCGAAACGTTCCAACCTGGCGCGATACCTGGCGATACGCTTAGACAACAAAAACAGAACGTGAAGGGACGATTCACGCACCGCTCCGACCGAGAAAAACAGTTGTATCGAATAATAACAAGTGCAACAGATAATTGCATATGAATGAATTTGAATGTGATTCCGTTTAGTATTGGTCTTTTTGGGTTATATTCGTTAATTTCTTTGTAGACATCGAGATTGTTCAATTCACGCTGACGCTAGTACCATTCTTTAGACAAATTATTTTTTTCTTTCTGTTGGACTCATAATTTTGATGATTGAATAGTATCAAGCATGCCAATTTTCTTAATAAATGCAATGAACACATCGCGAAACAAGATTCACGATACTGAAAACCTTGAAGAAATGAAGGAATGGAATGTGAGTGTAGCTGGTAGCGCGCGCCAGGAAAACTGCACGTGAAGGGCCCACTTTACTGATCATTTTTTGTTGTGGAGATGAAAATTAAGTAGAATTAGAGAGAAAACTACTGCGAAAATATCTAGATTAATTTAAATCTATGAATACATTTAAGGAAACATTATGGCGGAAAACTGAAAATAACGTTTTCTTACTACTTCGACATCGCTTTTTCAACAACTAATGAACTAAAATCTGGTAAACAACCCAATGGGATTGTTTCATATAATCGAATGGCTGCTATTCTGCACACCAGTACAGACTCTGTAGGCTATGTATAATTCCATATTTTTAGAATGTAAGGAAATCGGTATTCTGCCAGTGCGATTTCGATATAATTCTATAAAATGACATTACATAGTAAGACACATTCCCATGGACCCGATTTTTTTAACTGTAATTGTTGAATTACTCATGTAGGTAATAATATGGATGTTATAAGAAATCTTCATATATGTTTGGATCCATCGTTCTAGAAGAAGCTGGAGGGTATAATAAATGAAAATTGTTACTGATTAATAATAGTATCAGTTGAATTTAGGAATTGTATAACCATGAAAAAGGACAATTAGTCAATGATACAATTGATATAGATAATTACCATTCTGAAATATTCATTTTCTTTTGAATCTATCAAAACCAACCCTGAAATGTGAGGTTAATGAGTAGCTATGAAGTTGACCATCTATCAATATTCAGTAAGAGGACAGGCGTAAATTCCGACACGGAGTTGAGTGTTTGGCAGAATAACATTCTCGTTTAAATTAACAGAATCTGTAAGTATGTCTGTTACAGAATCTGTATCCTACATACCTTACATAAATATTTAAATAAAATGGATGGTCGGCAGAATAGCAGCATATAAGCCTTAAACATGATTCAAGTTGATTTCATCATATTGTCAAGCTTCATAAAAAATTCCATAATCTGATGGATTTCACGAACCAAATATTAAATCAAAACCGAAAATCATTTCAAACACTATAGATATTATTTGTTAAATTCATATTTCGCTTCCATTTCCGATATGCAGTCTCAGCTAGGAGAGTTCATTCCCTGCGGGCATTGCACTTGCTTGCTGATACTGCAATGATCACCAATAATTATAGTAAACTTGAGGAGTAGGGAAATCAATCAGAGTGACATTCGTATTTGCCAAGCCGAACGATGAGGTCGTGGTTTGACACCTTTGTAATCTTGTGAGATATATTGGTATTTTACTTCGTAATTTGAGGAAATAAGCTGAGTTCAGTTAAGAAGATGCCCGAAATGATTGCCTTGAACTTTTTGACATGAGAACAGCGTATCCGATATTTCACACCCAACACTTTCGAGCACAATTACGTGGATATTTCTACGAATATTTATCATTCTCTGTCGTATATCCAATATTGAATCATGTGCAGTTTCGTAGACATTTAGCTTCCAATAGCCCCATGCGAGCCATTTCGTAGGACCTCGACGGCCAATCCGGAGAAAGTATTATCCAAATGTTTCTAGCTTGTCTGGAGTAATGAGGTGGTGCTCCATCTTGTTGGCACACAATATCCATATTGATTTGTTTTGTATTCAGGCAACTATTAAATGTTCCACCTTTTAGTAGTACGTGAAGATATTGACTTTATATTCTAGGATTGTGAATTATTCCTCATTAGCTTCTAAAGGATGTGTCATAAGACCCCTTTTCCATTTGATTTTTTTGCCAGACGCCATCTTGAAATTTTCATCTCTTAATCCCAAACAATAGTATTCATGCATCAATTTCATTATCCCAAGTTTCAATTTTTTCAGTTGACCCGTTACAAAATAAAAAAGGGGGAGGGGGAACATTAAAGAAAAGCACTGAATATTTAGCTCAAATGGAATCTAGACTTCGAGGTATGGTGCCAGTTTCAAGGGTGGATCAACTTGTAGAAGTATATTCAATGAGTATAGTTTATTAATATTTATTGGAAGCATCCCAGCAAACACCTCTACCTCTAGACTTAATATCTTCCTCCATCAATTTTCTCTACTTAACCTCAAATTATTTGTCAGAGAATAAAACACTCAATTTCCTGCACTGAAAATACGTCAGTCAGTTATCAGTGGGCCAACAATAAATGATGAATAAATGGAAGTACTGGTCCGCCAATATTGGCGTTAAACTGGCCAGCGGATGGGTCACTCTTGTGATTTCCTATTAAAAAATGTCAATAATATGCCAATGATAGTTCACTGGGATGACATTGCTAAGCAATCGCAATCGTGTGCGAAAAAATAACGTACTTGAGGATATCAGTGAATAATTTTAAAACTATATGTTCCAATATGGCAGGCGTTAGTAACACAACGGTATAGAAAATATGGAAAGGAAATAAACTAGTACAAATGTTGGCTGCTCCTTAAAAGCATACTGAAAGGAGGGAAATCAAGCCCAATGAATTTGATTTTGTTTCAACATATTTCAGTAACTTTGTTAGAAGTCTATGGTTTCTACTCCATGTGGAGTGAAACTAAAACTACTAAATAATTCTGAAAACCATCTTCAGGACATTTTAATGTGAGTACCAGATCAATCAACAGTTGTACATGTTTCGAAAATATATATGACTATCATCGGCCATACATCAAATAATTATACTCCTATAATGAAAGTAAATGAGCACATCAAACACATGGATTGATAAATATACTTATCTGAAAATGATAAAAAGGGGTATGTTACCTAATAAAATTGAGAATAGGGAAGGTTTTCATTTTACACAGGGAACCCTACAAATCCCTAAGTCTCAATATCAAGACGAGAACCATCTGTAAGAACTTCTACACCCACATCAGCGACAACTCAATATATTATAAAAACGTGCCCATCTTGCTTAGCAAAGGATCAGGTCTGATAGCGCAGCTCACTAACATATGTCACGAATCACAAGTCAATGAAAAAGGCATTATCTTCACAAATAGGGTTGACCCCATGCTATGTTATATTCCCTATGCTCGTGGAAAGTCGGAGTACGCACAATTTCCATCGGCTTTTGTGAGCCGGTCGTTGGTAGGAGATTCTGAGCTCCCCGTAGTCCGTACTTCGTACTACCTACTATAACTCTGAGATGTGCTCTATTGAGTTCTAGTAGTTTGGAATGGACTAGGCCCGGTAGGCTACGCCAATACTCGAGTCTTTTGTTGTCGGCTATACCGATTACCGATTCTGGCCCAGTGAACGATGTTTCGCCCCCCCCCCCCCCCTCTTTTACTAGGACGTCCGCTATTTCGTTCTCTTCTAGGCCCGTGTGACCTGGTATCCAGACTAGGTTAACGTTATTGCGTTATGCCAGTCGGTTTAATGTTTCTCTGTAGTTCCATACTGCTCTGGATTTAAAGCAGTTGGATTAAAGTGTTTTCAGTGCTGCTTGACTATCTGAGAATATCTCTATTGTGTGTGGGTTCGATTTTCCAGCTCCCTTGCACACATTTCGATGGCGTATACCTCTGCCTCTATTGGTTACTCTGGTAGATTTCTCTTTGAAAATTTGCGACGAAGTTCCATTGGCACATTCCATTATTTCGCCTTCTAAAGGAACATACTATTTATTTATTTATTTATTTATTTATTTATTTATTTATTAACGGGTGAACCCAGTGTAAAAAAAACATGAATATATATAGCCTATACAACATATCACAGAACATTGACTGATTTATACATATCTACACTTTAAATAAAATGAACATTAGAAATAAAAACATTACATTATTGCAAGAATGCGTTTGGCTCTTTCAGTGCCAGTGTTAAAAATGTCCCAGTTCACTCTGTTACTCAGCGTCATCATCCTGTTTATCGGGTTATTGTTTGCATATATAGTTCTATGAGTTTCTAAATTGAATGTGCTGCTATAACATAATCGTTTTTGAGGAACATGAAATTTTAGGGAGGCCAATAATTCAGGACAATCAATCTGATTATTACATAATTTTTGAATAGTGATGATGTCATTGTTGCTTCTACGCTCTTCTAGGCTTTTTATGTTTAGGCGATTTAAAATATTGTCATAATCAAATTCCTCCAGAGGAATACCGAGCTTGAAACCAATATAACGCAAAAAACGTTTCTGAACTCTTTCTATTTTCATGATATGAGCTTGGAAGACAGGACACCACACAGAGCTGCTATTTTCAAGTTGAGAGCGTACCAATGAAAAGTAAAGGGATTTCAATGCGACAATATTATGAAAGTCCTTTGTTGATCGTTTGATGAACCCTAGCATCTTCAAAGCTTTGTTACAGATAAATTCAATATGAGGAATAAAGCTAAGTTTAGAGTCAAAAAGTATACCAAGATCTTTCATAATGTCTACCTTTTCAATGACTACATCATTTAAGGAGTACTCATCATTGTTAATTATGCTGTGATTTTTGCTGAAACGAATATATTTACATTTTGGAATATAAAGAACTAGTTTTTTCTTGTGGCACCACACAGAGAACCTGTCCAAGTCCAATTTGAGATATATTTTCATATCGTCAGCATATAATAATATTAAACTGAATTTAAAGCAAGAAGATACATCATTAACAATTAAATTGAACAGTAAGGGTGCTAAATGAGCACCTTGAGGAACTCCAGAAGTGATTAAAATTTCATCTGACAAGGAGGAATTAATCTTAACTCTTTGCCTGCGATTATCTAGATAGGATTTTAGCCATGCCAACAAACTGCCTCCAAGGTTTTTGGACAACTCAAAAAAAAGCAAATTATGATCTACCTTGTCAAATGCCTTGGAGAAATCTGTGTAAACTGCATCAACACTTAGTCCCTTCTCCAAGGCATCGACAGTGTAGTCTCATAGAGTAAAAGATTTGTAGTGATAGATCTTTCTTGGCAGAAACCATGTTGTGTTGAGCTGATGATATTTTTGAATTTAAACTTCAGAAAATCATTTACAATAGATTCAAATGCTTTGGGTATGAGCGATATCTTTGTGATTGGACGATAATTTAATACAGAGTCATTTCTTCCTGACTTCTTGTGAATTGGCACAACATAAGAGTTTTTCCAAAAATCTGGGAAAGTACCGGATTGAAGAGAATTATTGAAAATAATCCAGAGTGGACGGGAAAATGAAAATGCACAAGATTTTATGAAGATTGCTTGTATAGTATCAGGGCCAGCCCCTTTAGAGCAATCAATGCTCTGAAGTTTTTCTAGAATGTCAGAAATATTTATAACTATTTTATTAATGCTGATGGAATCAAATTCACTGTCTGATCTAGGATTAGGGGTGATGAAGTTATAACGATTACCATTATTATTCTAGTGAATACTTCAAATCAGTGACTAATAGACTATCACCCACCTCAATGTTTCTCTGTTGCCTGGGCATGGCCGGCTTCGCCTCGCCGTTGATTTGCGGCTTCACTACGTGGGGCAGCAGCTGCTGTTGCTGCTGCTGCTGCGGCGGCGGCACCGGCTGCTGCCTCGGTGGCACAGGCGGCGCCGCTTGGTACTGATGAGGCGGCGTGTGGGAGTGCGGCCGACCATGATTGGGCGGACCCTGACAGTCAATATAATTGTTTTTGTGATTGAAAATTAGGGTGTTTTTTCGATATTGAGTCAAAATAAGGTAAGAAAATAAATATTTCGAATCGAAAAAATTACAGTGTCTTAAGGACATGAGAAGGTAAGTTTTCACCAAATTTCCCGGATTTTTTTTGCGTAAGAAAAATAAAAAACCAGAAACTTGATTTTTTGAACTTTTCACATAAATTTTGAGGTTATGTGAAAAAAGTGTGACCACAAAAGTTGTAGGTCCTATTACTGAGTACAACTTTGCCATTGAATATTTCTCCATAGGACTTGTGGTTTTTCTGAAAATCGAGATACACCGTTTTTTACCCTGAAAAAACTCACCTCCTTCCACTTCCCGACCTCAGATCGCTTGAAAATTGTTTTTCCTTTCATGTTTGTTATATTCTCGTCCTTTCTCAACGAGTTTCATCATACTATTTTTTTTTTGTTTCAAAATTTATCGACCCTGGTCTATTCGCGGGAATCAATGTTACCAGGTGGCGCTCGGTTTTCATTGTTCCATGTCAAAGCCACGTCAGAACTGGGGGAAAACAAACTCAATCCTCACTCAATCCCATCAGTGCCATTAGCTTGTGTACTGTATATACAGGGTGTAAATTTGAAAACTTTCAATGCGAATATCTCGCGGAATAAAAAAGTTAGAAAAACGCCGCTTGGCAAAAATGCTAAAGAGTTAAGGGGAACTAGAACCACCATATTCCAGTGAAGGGATGAGTCACCCTGTCAGCGCAACACACCCCAACTTTTGAAATGTCAAATGGCACTACCTCTTTTGTGATACCTCAAATGAACGGTCTCAGTCAGTAGTATTCACCTGTACAAGACTTTTTTTCCACCCACTACAGGGTGTACGAAAAACATTAATTCGAGAGTCTAAATTTGAAAACTTTCAATGCGAATATCTCGCTAAATAAAAGAGTTAGAAAAACGCCGTTTGGCACAAATGCTACAGAGTTAGGGGGAACTAGAACCACCATACTTCAGTAAAGGGATGAGTCACCCCGTCGGCGCGACACACTCCATCTTTGAAATGTCAAATGGCACTACCTCTTTTGTGATACCTCAAATGAACGGTCTCAGTCAGTAGTATTCACCTGTACAAGACCTATTTTCCACCCACTACAGGGTGAACGGAAAACATAAAGTCGAATAAAATAAAATGCAGAATGCCGATATATTCCAAGATATGTGTTCCAAAATGTTAGAATGGCATTTGAAGATCGATTATACTATTGCTTACAACAAATAAAATATCCTTTTAACACAATTCATTTTATTTTATTCGTCTTTATATTTTTCGTACACCCTGTAGTGGGTGGAAAAAAAGTCTTCTACAGGTGAATACTACTGACTGAGACTGTTCATTTGAGGCATCACAAAAAGGTAGTGCCATTTGACATTTCAAAGTTGGGGTGTGTCGCGCCGACGGGGTCACTCATCCCTTGACCGAAATATGGTGGTTCTAGTTCCCCTTGACTCTTTAGCATTTTTACCAAACGGCATTTTTTTAACTTTTTTATTTCGCGAGATATTCGCATTGAAAGTTTTCAAATTCACACCCTGTATGTATGTATACAATGCAATGTAGTCTATGCACTGCATCCATAAACAACAGTTTGTTTTCCCCCAGTTTGAAGTTCGTATTATGTAACCTAGATGTCGCCCACTTCGTGGATCTCGCGAATTGTGTTTCTCATATAGTATAGTAACCATGGAGAAAATAACCCCCAAGACCAAACATTACCTGGAGCTGCTGGCCGTGAGTGGAAGCCACCGGAAGCTGCGGCCCGTGGTTGGGCGGCCCAGGCAGAGGCTGGGCGTGTCCGGGCGGCACCGCGTGCTGCTGCTGCACGTGGCCGGGCGGCACCGCGTGATGCTGCACGTGACCGGGCGGCGGCAGCGGGTGCTGCTGAGGGGGGGCCGCCACGGGGGGCGAATGCACGGGAACGGCGTTGGCGTTGTGCAGGTGTGGTTGGGGAGCTTAATAGACAAAGAATAATTTTTTTTTGGGCAGGAAAAATTCTTGAGAGAGAGAGAGAGAGCTTGTAGCATGTAGGTCGACAGTACCTAAGGTCAATATCAAATAGTAATGTTCACGCCCCACCTCTTTAGTTTAGTAAAGATGTTTAGTATATAGTTAAAATTAATTTTCTTTTCATGCAAAATAATATTATTACAAAATTTCTTATAATGATATCTCGGCGATTGTTTATTGAGAATATTAATTTCCTTGTATCTCAATTCTCGCATATTCCGCGACATAGAGTCAAATTCTGCGCAGTGGCCGAACGTGTGCCAGTTTCGGCCGAAAAAGAGTAGTACCTCTCCACGCTCGGACAAGGTACCGGTGTGTCGTGTAAAATTATAAAACCCGGCAAAATACCTACTCAATCAAACCCAAAACCTCTCTCAATAAATATTTAGTGTGTGAGATTCTCCCAGAAATACAGTCCACTTCCCAGAAAGCAGGAGATTGGTGGTTGCAACCCCGACCAGCTGGGAAAACCTACACAACTTGGGAAAGAACGAAAATCAAGGTAGGCCATTTCTCGCGCTGTAATTTGACTCTTCATTTTGTTAATCATACCAATCCCAAATTCAATGTTCTCCAACAAGTAAAATATTGAAATAATGTTACACTAATAATAATTCAAACAATAGTTGAACTTGACAAACATGTTACATAAATAAATTGAAATAAAATCATATTTTAAAGTAATTTATAATAATTATATTACAGATCCAGTGAATCAGTAAAGTATTCATCTAAACAATAATATGGTCTATATGATAATAAATGCTTCACAGCTTTCCTGAATGCATTGGATGGTCCAATGTCCTTTATACCATTAGCAAGATGATTGTAAATTTTGCCACCATTATAAACGAAGAAATTTTTAATGAGAGTAGATGAGGGGAGTATGAGTTTGATATCTCTAATGTCTTGTATTGTGATGTAATGAATGGAGACTGAATCTATTGATATGTTTTTTTATTAATGAGGTACTTTCTAATATAAATAGGGATATAACTGTCAGTATTTTTCATGACTTGAACAGAGGTATTCCAACTACTTTTGTTCCTGAAATACAGGGCGAAAACGGAAATGTTCACGTTTGGAGATGTTATTATTTCTCAGGCCCTGTATATAAGATTTAAAAAAAAATGAAAACTGCTCATAATATAAATTTTCACATAAAAGTCAGTGGCGTATTCTGAATTTTTTTTTTCAGAGCATTGTTTTTGAGATTGGGCACAAACTTGGTATTTTTTAAACGTCAATATTCTGCAATTTTTTTTCTGAATTCACTGATATATCACAACCTAATCTTCATTACATTTTATCTTCAAAAATCAGAAAAATCCATATCTATGTTAGTGTTTTCAATAGTGGGCCATGAATTCTTCCACACATGCACAAAAAAATGTTTTGTTTATTGCATCCATGGAAACTGTCACGAACAGAGTCCATACAAATCAATAATGATGGCTGACGGTGAAAACATGCAATTTCAAAATTTGGAAAAGTATGGTATTATAAAATGTTTAAACCTTCTTAACGAAAATGTCGAAGCAGCGATGCAATTATATTTGAACAGGTAAAGAATCGGCATATTTTATTTTGTTACGAAATTCAAAAAATTAAAAAGATCTTATTAGGTTTCCAGAAAGACGTCAGCCATCTCGGGCTATGGCATTCCGGTTAAAATCCAATCTTTTGAATTATGGCTGTTATTTAAAACCTAGGCAACCTCATGTTGAGAGAAATGAAGCTGGCCAAATTAATGTTTTAGCATGTGTGGAAGCAAGACCCCAAATTTCCTGTAGAAAAATAGAGGAAGAGGTAGGAGTTTCAAAAACAAAAGTGCAAAAAATTTTGAAAATGCATAAATTTATACCGTATAAGGTAAATATCATTCAAGAATTGCATCCTGACGACCCTTTTAAACGATTGGAATTTTCTAATTGGTTTTCAACGAAAAATAATGAAGATCCGGATTTTGCAAAAATGATATGATCTGAAGAATCCCATAAAAGCAGCAGCGGCATATTTAATAGGCAAAATACAAGACATTGGTATCAAAAAAACCAACATATCACTTTTGAACGACAGCAACAAGGCCGATTTGGTTTTAGTATTTCGTGTTTCGTATTGGGCACTAAAATGAAATATACAATCTATCAGAGTAGCTTAACTACCCAACGATACCTGAATATATTACAGAATAATATGGCACAACGAAACCAGATATATTTCCAGCAAGATGGAGCGCCCGCTCATAATTCAAGGGTAGTTTCAGAATATTTGAGTGCTTATTTTGGTAGACGCTGGATTGAGACACACGGGACAATCAGATGGCCCCCGAGGTCACCGGACTTAGTATTTTAGACTTCTTTGTATGGTCATACTTAAAAAATAAAATTTATGTAAATCGGCATAATAATATAGATGAACTCCGAGCCTCAACTGAAGAAGCATTCAGAAACTTACTTGAATAAAGTTCATATAAACATGTGTCCTAACTTGCTCCGTTTTTGAGATACAGGATGTTGAAGTTGGAGGTATTAATTGTTTTAATATAAATAAGTTGGGTCCAATTGACTTATTTTGAACTGTATTACACATGGTAGCTCTCGTGTCCCTGCAATTTCGGGACACCCTGTATACAAGGTGTTTTTGAAATAAGTACATATAATCAACACATCGATATGATACAGTTTAAGGACTATTCCCATTATATCAGATTTTTACTAATTCTTCTAATTACCCAGAAATTTCATCCCGAAAATTGAACAAAAAACGAGAAAAAAATTAATTATGCCACTTTAAAACAATTTTAATGATTGAAATCCGCGTGATTGTGCCTTTCACACGAAAATTTGCACAGAGGTGACGTCAGAATGGCTACAGTGTGGAACTCTGAGTGAAAAAGAGGGTCTGACCTCAAATTTTATTTTGATCCCTATATTTTTTTATTGGTACCACTAAAGGTTTGAAATATTTGCACTTATTACAATGCCACCCTGTATATACACTGTTGATGGCTTTTGTTGGTTGAGTAAAAATATACAGGGCATCTCATTGAAATATCGAAAGTTGGGCTCACTTCCGGTAAAACCGGAAGAACGACAAGACAAATAAATATATCAAAAAATGTAAATTGAACTATAATACACAATCCCCGAATTCCATGTTTCCATCTTCAATAATAAAAAAGTTATAGCCACCTACAAAAATCACCTGGTATGTTGCAGAATATTATGGGAAGCCTTCAGTAAAACTCACCTTGTTGCACAATAATGTTGTTTTGGTGAGGCACTGGATGAACAGGGTAGTTTACTGGAGGTCGGGTTTCTTTAGGGGAAGGAGTATTAGGACTGCTAGAATTTTGGCTTGGGGGTGGCGTGCTTCTCACCAGTTTGCCACTGTTTTGATTCTTTCGTTTTGCTGGTGGAATGTATTTACCTGAAGAGATGAAAAATAATGATTGATTAAATGTCTCTTGAATGACAATCGGTCCGATTCACTAAGAGCATGGTTATTTTAACAAATTTCATTCGGGTGGTTAATATGGAGGACAGTGGCTATTTGAACCACTTACAGATTTTCTGAATCTCCAAGGAATAAATGCATAATAAATCAACAACTTGTCATGTTTTTCTCAACTTTTTATAGTGGCAGATATCCACCAGCTTCTTCTGGTGATTTGTGGAGTGGCTAAGGTTCTTAATGAAAAAATGTGGCACAATTTCACGGGAATGTTGTTCATCTGTTAATGCGTGATATTCCATAAGGCGTTTTCGGAAACTTACTCTGGGTTGATAACTCGATCCAGATAGGTCACGTGACAAAAATTCGGATCATCTACTCGTGTTCAACGTTTACGAACGTGTCAGGTTAGGAACACTAAATATTATATTTTCCTGTGGTTTCATGAATTTGACAGACGAAAATGGTCACCTTATATTCAAGTAATTACAAATATTTATATGTACCTGTGGATTGGTGTACTTGTCTCATATGTGTTGATGCACATAACCACAAACTTCACCCCTACCCAAATTCTCTTCTCAATGAATTACTTTAGTCAAATTATGAAGATTGAAAAGAACATGTATATCACCGGTTGTGATTTTTCCCAACATGCAAATTATTTTATTATTATTGTTATCGTCGAATGTGAACTCCCGCGTTTTTTGATTGACTTAAATTCCGTATTGCGCATGCGGTGTCCTTTGCAACTCTGGCGACCCTGCTTTTGAGTAGGGTCACGAAAAATCAACCCGAGTCAGTGATCGAGTTAGCATCATTCAGTTTCCGAACAGAGGTAGGTAACTCGGTATGGGTAACCGAACGTTCAGGTTGGGGATCCGAACAACCCGAGTGAGTTTCCGAAAACGCCTATTAATCCTTCCAGAATCACGTCATTTGACAGGTTGCTGAGGGGCAAACATCGTATTTTGTCAAAATTTGTCATATAAAACCAGAATTAGTGGGATCGTTTTCCTAGAAATCCGAGTTGGAACCAGAAAGAATTTCATAATTTTGTTTGGTGAAACTGTTAATATATTGTGGATGTGACAGGGACGGCCAGGGCTATGCTCATAAAAGGTAACCTAACAGATAGTTTGTGTGCCCCTCAAGAAACCATGTGAAAATCACGTGTTCTAGAATGATCAATAGGGTTCCTTGATGCAAACTGATGTATTTGTCATCTCAACAGGGTACGGACAGATCCTCGTCTCCTCTCACTCTAAAGTGTTTGTGAAACAGTTATATAGTTCCATCCTTATTCAATTCTGGGGATAAACACTAGATTTTTAACATTTGTTGTTTTTTAGGTTATATTGAGGTCATTGACGTATCATATGTAATTTCCATGTGGAATTCCTGATTCAACTATACCAAGATGTAGATGAATAATCCTCTAGATTTAGAGGTTACTACTCCAACATAATCTTTGCGAGGTAGGGAACATTATAAATTGTACTGAAAGCTTAATATATTGCACCAAAATAGACTGTTCTTAGACTGTATACCAGGGTTGACTGAATTGACTGTATGAATTCTGATTTCAAGCAGAGCAGTAGTTTATCTATGAGCTGATTGAGCTGAGCCTTATGATTGAGAAATCGTGAAAACCTCGATGTGGGTATCTAAACTACTGTACTCATGTCATGTCTGCTAAATATATTTTCGGAAATGCAACTCGGAGAAGAATTTATGGAGTGACGACTTATATCACACTATGTATAAAACTTCGTCTAGGACGAAAAGTAGGGTGATAAAAAGTAATAAGAAAAATGTGCAGGAGAATGAAGAATATAATATCCTTTACCCCCGTTATAGATATGATTTTTCCGTCCCCCTTAAATAAAAAGTCATTTTCAAATAATTTATTGATGAAAGTAACAAAGAAGTAGGTATACAGTATAACTCTCCGTATAACATATAGGCACGTTATTTTCACTCTTGCATCCTACATATTTTCAATTTGTGGTAGAGTAATAATTATATAAACTAATGTTAAAAGTGCAGTTTTGAGCATTGGTTATTTGAATACCACTAGAAGTGAGATCTGGAGCCGATGCAGTTTCAGTGACCCACAATTTGGTTCGAATTTTTTTGCTATTTTGTGAGATTGCTGCACATACCCTTCAGCGATATTCGTAGACTTCCAAGCAAGGATGTCTCCTCCAGAATTTGCGTGTTTCTTTGGTTTTTCAAAATACTATCCATTTTATACTCCTTTTCAACTCGGCAATCTATTTATTTCTTAAATTTTTCAAACTACTATTTATGTTCTACTTCTTCTTAATTCGAGTAAGTATCTACGAATGCGTGTTCAATTGATTTTTCAAACAACTATTTGTTACTAAGCTCGTTCGCCATATTGGATCTGCCATCTTAAATATCCCAATTTTGACAAAAAATCATAAAGTTCGAACCCGAAAACCCCCAGATACCAATCTTTAATAGAATCAGATCCAAATTAGACATTTCTTTCCCTATATATTTGATCCGTCATCTTGAATTTTCCAAGTTTGACGAAACAATCATTATCTCCAACAAAACTCGATCGCCATATGATCTTCCTCAACAAGTAAATACCTTATACATACCTATTATTAAAATGTTTAATGATTTTCTGTAGCGCCCATGGATGTGACGTGACAGCAATGTCAGGGATGCCAGTTGACAAAACGTCTCTAGATCATTAAAAAAGAAAGCAACTATGACCTGTCCACACCCTGTTAAAATGACTTTAAAGTCAATTTCCATCAAGGGACCCTAATATTGCAAAAGAGGTAATTCTAGGACATGAAAGTATTAAATATAATTCTATTTTACTAGAAGGATACCATCAAACAATAGAATTTTGGGAGATTCAACAAATCTATCCTTAAATTTCGGAAAATCTATCATATAACAAAAGAATTGGTTTGAGGTTTTGACACCATTGATAGAACCACAGACATTGGTGGGCGACCTTCATTTTACTACATGTAAAAAAATCTCAGTTGAGTTTTTGTAATATATCAGTAGAGAGTTATCAGAGAACATTTATAACTAATGCCTAGCATTTCAGATACATGCTGCTTTACATTTACTTACACGAGGATCCTATCAGGGGGACTGATTTTAATGTAGCAATGTCCCAACCAAGTGCTTGTAGAGTATATGTATTGTTAGGTTAAACAGACGTTAAGAAGGCAGAAATATAGCAATAATCAATGAAATAGTAGATGAATGACTAACTTCATAGCTTTATTTATACCACTGAGTGGAAATGTAAAAAACTAATCACATTGATAAATGTTTTTATAGAATACCAAATATCAATAGTGGAAAATCTGGAGTTAAAAAAGTTCTTAATATCAACATCACTAATTTAGCCACCCTATTGAACACTTCTCAGAGAATCCCACCAAATGTTTCAATTAAAGAAAAACAATTGCAAGTACTCCTCTGAGGAATTTCTTATATAATGTTTGAAGTTAGTCAACTATGAGTGTTCTCAAAGGTGAGGAATTTTTTTTATGGAGATGTAGAAGTTACCAAATGAATCATTACATAAAAATCCCCTACGCAGCAGGAGGGGGTTTGTAGAATAATTTGGAGAAGTCATAGATACCCATTAAAAACACTCTCATGTTCAGAAATCAATGAGTAATTCAGTAGATTCCTGATTTTCTCTTGAAAATATTCAGTGGTGTGGTACATATTTTTAGAAGAGAAATATTTAACTACCTATCGGGGAGATAGATACAGGAGGGCATAGAAAGTCAGTGTGCAAAATTTGAGAACACACCCAGTAACTAGGTTATGGTGCATTTTAGGAGGTATGGTCATCATGATTAGTAGTAGGTATACCAGTTGACACCAGCCCATCCAAGACACTTTTGTTGATCATTACATGTCTCAGCAGAAAAATTAAATACCTAGACCCATGAACAATTAGTATGAAAATTGAAAAGAAAAAATTGCATTAACAAGATTTGAATCCACCTACCATTTCTATTCACATTCTATTATGATTATTGATCAGAAGGATGTAGATATAACAAGATATCAAAAGTACTTTTCATACAAACATAATGAAATTTCAACTGTTATTTCTTTGGTAACTTTTTGGTCAATATATTTTCAAAGTAATACAAATTCTCTGTACACTGAATCAATAGCACACTCATTAATCATGCCTAATAACAAAGGGAAATTTCAGATGGGAATTTTGGTGTAGCAGAGATGTAAATTCATAAGAATTTGAGGGAATTTATCAATCTTCAGTATTCAATGGGCAATGGAGCAGAATTTAAGGGGACTTTTGAGAATTCAATGAAAATTGTGGGAGTTCAAGATGAATAGAGCAGTTCAGCTGGCATTGAGACAAAAAAAATGTCTTCCCCATCTGTCCTTGTCATCAGTGTTCCAACATAAATGAATGGAAATTTTATGTTGGTTACATTGGAGGTGAGAAAAAATCTAGATCATATTAACCTCAATATAAAAAAGGTTAGAATGGTCTTCTTCTCCATTTCTTCTCATTTCCAGTGTTGCAAACATAAAATTGTCACAATTTTATGTTGGAACACTGATGACAAGGACATATATGGGGAAGACATTTTCTTGCTCTCCCAATGCTAGCTGAACTTCTCTATTGCATGAATTTAATCTGTAAATTAATGGGAATTAGTGTACAAACCCCTAGATAAAAACTTACCATTAGTGTTAGATTCTTGATGAGGACGTACAACAGCTGCAAAGGCAGACTCCTCATCTCCATTTTCTAGGTCCAATCTGGCCTTGTGTGAAGGCTGATTTTCTATTTCATTGGCAATAAGATTGGCCTTTGCCTCTGCCTCTTTATAATCTGCACTATCATTTGCTTGCAAGGGGACAGTGTATCCTCTCAGAGAGTGATCAAAAGTGCTTTGAACCCCATATTCTTGTTCATTCTTCCTGAACATGTCATTTGCATCCCAGCCATTGGCTTGGTCAAGTTCCAGGGGTAAATCAGTGCCATTCATGCCTGAAGCATCCCAGGGTTCCAGCTCTCTTTCTTCCAACTTTGAGTTACCATTGAGTTTAGCAGAAATGGCAGTATCAGTTTGGAAAGTGTCTCTTGTAGGGTATTCTAGGTCTACATCTTGTGCCACCATTGTCAAAATATCACATGCTTTGAATATGAGCTTGTCTACACAGGTGTCTGCCTTAATTTGTGAGTTGGGACTTTCTGGGTTCTCTACCTTGGCTGCCACTTCCAAAACCACATCAAAAAGACTTGAGAATGTCTTAAATACTCCTGTGAAAGGAAATATCTCCTATTTATTGATTATCTCAAACAAAATTAACCACATGAATGAACAGACATACCTTCCCATACTACACCTGATGCAGTGGTTATCCGAACTATATTTCCCACTTGGGCAGTGGAGGCATGCATAAAATGTGCATTGTTGTAGACACCTTCAGGTACTACAGACCTGGGGGGCCTCTGTGTCCTATAAATTAACATTAATAATTGTGGATCAATGCAATGTCTCATCATAAGAATTAAGTTTGCAAGACTTATGACTAGTGTACATTATCTAAAACTGATTTTGATGTCTTAATAGATCCATCACACTATTAATATGTTTCAACATTTGAATAAAATGCAACATAATAGGTAATTAGGAGTCAAAAATTAAAGGTCATTCCTCAAATTTCTTGAAATACTGAAATTAGCTACATGGTGTTTTTACTGTTGACATGATTTCAACAACAGTAGACACATAAATCATCAGATTCCTGAGTTTGTTTTTGTTTTTGGAATTTCACCAACCTCACAGAGCCTCCTCGATTTTTCCTTTTGTTGTTCATATCACCGCTACCGTAATGGCCGGGATCTCTATTTCTCGTGGGCACCGGAATTTTGAAGAATTTTAATAAAACCCTTTAAAGAAAACACGAGGTTCACGAAAACCTATGAATTTTCACTGTTCAGGAACAAAGATTTCACCAAATACAAAATGGCCTAGTGACGTAACCGTAACGCGATTTTCGTTTATTATCACGAATACATTCGACTGATCAACCTTGTAAAGGATTGAGCTGTCGAAAAATGATTTAATTATTATTGATTTCACGTGTTTATTTCTTAAAAAATTGATATATTTTCGATAACAAACAAATCTAAAACCAGCATTTGCGGGTAATGTCTGTCAAGACTGACAATTGACAAGAACTGAACGTCAATGCGCATGCTCTCGAGCGGCCTACCATCATTTTTGTTTCACTTGTTTTGTGTGGCGGCAAAATTTGGAAAAGTTAAACAATCAATATCTCGGAGTGTGCGTCTGTCAATATCAAAATGTACAAATCATGGCATAGCATAAAGCTCAATAATCTCTAAATCCTGGTCAGCCACCACGACGCTCCAACAACCTGTTGTTCTCAACCCCAAACGTGAGTATAATAATGAATAATATAGTATAGTATAAAGCGTGTACGATATCAACAACCTGTTGTTCTCAACTCCCGTGAGTATATAATGAATAATATAGCTAGGTATATAGTATTGTACGAAGGCCTGGAAGGGACACATAAAATAAAAAAAATAAAAACTCTTCAACATTCCGAGTTATAAGTCGGAATTTTGAAGAGTTTTTATTTTTTTTTACAATCCCTTTCCTACTGCATGTAACCAGATTTTTTTTTGGAATATATAGTTGAGGAATAGCGTCCTGGTGAGCAGGGGCGTCCGCAGAAATAATCTCAGGGAGGGGCAATAAGTGACAATCAATAATGTACATTATTCAAAACATATAAAAAAAACCTGTTTTTGCACGACCTTTAAGCGATTTTACACCGACAAAAGCGGGAATACAAGGTATACAGCGAGTAGGCACTCTCTAGGCTGAAAAAAATTCCGGGATTTTTATGGCAATAAACCTACCACACTATGTTTGCAGCAGCTTCTTCAATAGTTTCTCCACAAATTCCTGCAATATTTATTGAAAAAACTTTGGAAAGCAATTAAGAAAATATGCTACCACACTTTTTCGATATTCACAAAAATCAATATGGCTACTCTTCTTTATCGGTAGTCATGATAATCAAACTTCATTTTGTAATTATTGCGTTCAGATTTTTATTATCATATTAACAATAATTGATTTTATCATCAGATTCTTTCAATTAAAATCGTCGAGTCGTGCAAAAATGGTATATAAACCTCTGAAGTGAGTTATTTCTTCCCTCAGTGCATTATTGTATAGCACCCTCTCTGGGCTACAAAACTTCATTTTTGAAATTCGTCAACCAGTGGCGTATAGTAAAGGTCGTATATATGTCACCACATTTTCCTTCAAAATTTTTCACAGACTGATGATCGAATTATTAAATTAGTAAATGACATCAGTTAGGATTATCGATACTCGACCTGAAAGTAATAACATTCTGCATGCCTAAATGTAGAAGTTCCGGAGATATTTGAGAAAAACTTGAGACATATGTCAGGTACAAAGGACATATTAAATGTAGTAGATAAGAAAAAATACATTGAAAATATGCAGAATAAAGTCATACACACGTACATTTCTGGCAATAAAACAGACTTAACAGTGACATGTACCACATATAAATAAACAACAATTCGTGAGGACTTATTTCTCTTCTTCAATTCACAAAAGGAGAGAAAAAAAAAATTGGAATTGTAAATTGCAAAGCAAGTATATGAGCTGTATGAACGATGTTTTTTTTTTCAGTTGATGGTTTCGTAGAGAGAATGATGAATCTGGTGAAGATAAGTATTCTTCAACAGAGTAATAACATCATAACCGTAGAAAGTGGTCCTTGATGACTTTTTTGAAATATTCGAGGTCAAGGTTGCGCACATCTTTAGGTAATTTGTTGAACAAGTTCAAATTCAAAGAATTACGTTCGGATATATATACTTCTAGTCGATATCTTTGTGGTCTCAACTTGTCAGAATAATCCCTCGTTGCATAATCATGGAAATCGGAATGCACGCTAAATTTATCGAAGTTTTTGTGTATCTCCATGAGAGATTGAAATATGTATATGAAAATATGTTTTATGAAAAGTTCTCGAAATGGGGTATTATAAGGTGAGTTCGTGATAAAGTCGTATATGGCGCGCTTTTGCAGACGAAAAACTCGGATGGAGTGTTTTGAGATCCCCCATAGAATAATAGCATAGTTAATATGTGATTGAAATAAGGCATGATAGGCTGACAGTAGAGAATTCAAATCTAGGTATTTTTTCAGTTGCCTAAGTAGGTTGGAATGATAACTTCTTGCTCAACATCTCAATATGTGTCGTAACCACCTAGTAGTTTGACACTGTTTTCAGTGTAGATGCTTCTGTTTGAAGTCACGATAATTTTCTGAGTTTTGTCTCTGTTGAGGTTCAAATTATTAGAGTAAAACCATGTTTCAGCACTTTTTTCGGCTGCAGTCGAGAGTTCGTTTAGAGTGTAAAGATTATCGTGATACTGAATCAATGTTGTGTCATCAGCGAAATATATGCATAATCCAGGTGACACAAAATGAAAAGTATCGTTCAAATAAATTATAAATAAGAGTGGTCCTAGGACTGAGCCCTATGGGACTCCATGAAGGACTTCCTGAAATTCCGAAATGGAGTTATCTAGATAAACCGCTTGTTTTCGATTTTCGATATATGATTTGAACAATTTCAGTGCTACACCTCTTCCATAAAAATCAAGTTCTTTCATTACCAGGGTGTACGAAACACAGTCGAAGGCCTTGCTAAGACAATGCTCAATCGAAGAGTGTTCACCCCTCTCAAGACCCGCGACTATGCTTTGCACAATCTGTGTAACTGCTTTAACAGTAGAACATTTAGTTCTGAACCCAAATTGCTCCTTACGTAACAAATTATGATAGTAGAAGAGGACTAAATGCTGCGTACCATAATCGCATAATGCTCTATGATAATATATACGAGATATCCATATTACTTTTCAACCTTCGGAATATTTTTGAACGTCGAAAAAATTAAAAACATTGTGTAAATCGACAAACTCGAGGTTACTAGTCATAACCGTGGCAACGTTTTCAATATGTCAAACAGTAACTAATTTCAATTATTTTGATAGATTATTTGTCGCATAGATTATTTATGCGCTGAGGAAATACAAAAATTAAATACGAAGCAAATGTTTAAATGGACCTACATTTCGTTCAATACATAATTGACATCTTCTGATCATCGACTGTCGGACATTTGGAAGATGCCTGGTGTATTCTGGATTACCATGCCTGCTGCTTAAATTCTAGCAATTAAATCTTCTACAGATTCAACAGGAGAATAGACTATGAATTTGAGGTACCTCCAAAGGAAAAAATCCAGTGGAGTTATATCGGGAGAATGTGCAGGCCAAGGAACGGGACCATCCTATCCACCGATCAGGGAAATTCTTAGCTACGCTACGCCTCGCTCGTGCAGCTAATAGCCGCGGGCTGCTAAAGCTCATTTTCTGCCCTTGTACATAACACGTATTCGATCATTACGAGATTAGCCCTCTATATTTAGATGAGTACCAGTTTTTTAGTAGGGTTCCCAGATAGCACAGAACCGTCCCGAAAACGTTCTCAAGCCGTACACCTCGGACATTGGAAGCGTCCCCAGAACGTCCATTTCAGGTACGGCGTACGTTTTCAGGACGTCCTGGGATCATACGATGTTACACAACCATCAGAGGTCCCCAGGACGTACGATGGTCCTGTTCAGGTCTGAACGGGACCATTAATCTGAATCAACGTAGATCCACCTTTTTTACTCAGATAAAAATAGAGACCTAGATAGAGTAAAAAAAATATTATTTTGACTAAAAACATTAAAAAAAGTGCTCCTACCGCGTATCGATCCCACGACCTTTAGTGCAGATGCTTTACCTATTACTCTACAGAAGACTTGATTATATGTCAGTATACAACAAGACATTATGTGCGAATTGCGAATGTTGATTGATTCTTATTCACATCGATACTTGCAAAGAATTAGATGATCATGTCAAAGAATACCTAAATAGATGTTTTGTGATCAGGTACGGTCAGTAAAAAAGAATTGTGAGAAATGTATTATGTTCATGTTTGCAAGGTTCCTAAATAAATAGATAACAGAGATCGACGGCAGAATAAATTATGTGCAATGATTTCAATTATTATTATATATACACTTTTATTCAATCTCGTCCCTTCAAAGTCGATAAAGTTCAGAGTTGGACGTATACCCAGTACATCGTAATCGTACGTACCCAGTGAATCCAGAAACGGACGTTTTCAGTACGTCTTGAAAAGGTCCCGGACGTTAAGACCTAAATCGGGCCTAAACTGAACGTCCTCAGAACGTCGAGTGCTATATGGGTTTTTATTAATAGCTAGGCCTCGTAAAAGTTGTAAATCTATTGCAATATTTTTCACATCGCATATATTATCATATTTATCTGTTGCCGACAAGATGTTTCGTCCTGTCGAAGTTTACACATTTTTTATGAAATATGGCGAATAATTATCCAGGATTTCAAAACTATGTAGAAAAAATTAGAAACAAACTTGGTTATATATGGTAATATATCCCAACCATATCTTGTACACTGTACAAATATTCTTAATAGGAGTTTCTGAATTTCAGATGAGGATATTCTATTTATTTTAGATGTCAAGAGAATCGCCGACAAAGCCATGTTCCAAGAAGCTTCAGGTTTCAGAATGCGAAAAACAAAACTCCATTAGCGAATCTACAGAGGAAACAAAATTTTTCAACACGTTTGACTACGTAATCCTAACCATAATTTCCGTCGTGGTTTTTATTTACATAGTAAAATACTTCGA